ATTTTGAGCATTAATACTTCTTAATATTATTTTTATTTTTTATGAATTAAAAATTTTGTTTTGAAGGGTCATACAATAAATTCATAGTACTTTTTCTTCTTCATCTCCCTCTAAAATGAATTTTATATATAAATAAATAAATAAATCTAGATGTCTTTGGTCGTGAGGTACTCCTCTGAACTTCAACTGGGGAAAAGTCAAGTAAAAATGGTTCCCTTCTCTTAGTAAAAGACGAGGAACCCGAAAACCCAAAAAAAAAAGAAAAGGAAAAAGGAAAAATCTTCTCGAAACGACGCCGTGTAATCTGTAAGCGCGTAAAGAGGATCAGATCCAACGGTCAGAAACTTCCGAAACCCTTGATGATCATGTCCTCTTTCTCCTCCAGTCCCCTCTCTTTCTTCTTTGCCTTCTCCCGACTCGACTCACTGAGTCGTCGACTCGAGTCGCCTTCTCTTTCTTTCTCTTCCCCACTCCTACCCTCCCCTACGCTTTTTCCAGTTTCTCCCTCTACCTTTGCGCTTCTGCCCTTTTTCGTCTTTTCCTCATCTTCCCTTCGCACACCCAATCAGACGGTCTTCTTCTCTCCACGTCACACCGTCTTCTTCCCCCACCCACACTTCTGCCCCCCCTATTATATCGTATTATTTGTGTTCTCTCTCATTCCTCGCTAGGGTTTCTCAGATTCACCGTTTGCGATTATGGTTGGAGTTTCTCAATACTTTATTCAGCAATCCTGAAACTTTTTCTTTCCCCATGTCTCAAAGCTTCAGGTTTCGTGATTCTCGCCCCCAATTTCACTCGAGGCTCTTCGTATGTTGTGAACCAGGTACTTTGGAATCAAATCTCTTTTGTGTTTCGTATTGTTCGGATGGTTTTTCACTTGGGATTTATTTTGTGTTTGTTCCTCTGTTTCGGTAGTTTCAAAATCTTAGTCTTTTTCTCGGTTTTGTTTGGTTTAGGGTTTTGATGTGTGGTCTAGGTTCGACAAGGATTGAATAGTTTTTTGAAATTTGGCTTCTTTGGGGCGATTTTGTGATTGGAGGTGATTTTTTGGTGTGTTATGTGTCATGGCCATTGAGAAGAATAACTTCAAGGTTTCGAGGTTTGATTCCGAGTTCTCTCCCGGTAGTAGAGAGAGCATGTCGAGCGAGGAGGATGAGCTGCAACGGCGGAAGTCAGGAGTTGATTCTGATGATGATGATGATGAGTTTGATGATGCGGATTCCGGGGCAGGGTCGGATGACTTTGATTTGTTGGAATTGGGTGAGACGGGGGCGGAATTTTGTCAAGTTGGTAATTCAACTTGCAGTGTTCCTTTGGAATTATATGATCTTCGTGGTTTGGAGAATATATTGTCTCTTGATGTGTGGAATGAGTGCTTGAGTGAGGAGGAGAGGTTTAGTCTCACTAAGTATTTGCCTGACATGGAGCAGGGCACATTTATGCGGACCTTGAAAGAGCTTTTCACTGGCAGTAATTTCCATTTTGGGAGCCCCATTAAGAAGTTGTTCAATATGCTTAAGGGAGGCCTGTGTGAGCCTAGAGTTGCACTTTATCGTGAGGGCTTGAATTTCTTTCAGAAGCATCAGCACTACCATCTTTTGAGGAGGCATCAGAATAATATGGTTACTAATCTTTGCCAAATAAGGGATGCTTGGGTTAAGTGTAGGGGATACAGTATAGAGGAGCGGCTTCGTGTTCTGAATATTATGAGAAGTCAGAAGAGTTTGATGTATGAGAAGATGGAAGATATGGAGTCTGACTCTTCGGGAAGGGAAGAATTAGGTGATGGGCTGCGGAGCAAAAGGGCTAAAGACAAGAAAAGTCTGCAGAAAATGGGTCGTTATTCTGCATATATGGGCGATTCAAATTTAGAAATTGTTTCGCATGGACGGTCAATGGCTTTTGAACCTGCACAATATGGAAAACAAAACCCAAAAGGCATACTGAAGGCAGGTGGGTCAAAATTTTCTCCTGCAAGGGAGTTTGTGAGCTGCTTTTCCTATGTTTTCCCTGGTTTGGATGCTAATTCTGAGCCATATGGTTTTGCAGGAAGTTTTCCTCGAAATAAATATGATTCAGGTGCAGCCCTGAGGACAAGGGATCGGATGAGATTGGATGATGGTGATGAAGATGATGATGAAGACCCCATGTTTGGAATGGGTATCCAGCGAGAGAGAAATGTTGCACGCGGTAGTTTCATTGAGAAGTTTGGGTCTTTGAAAGCAGGGAAGAAACATGAACTCTTAAGAGGTGAAGAATCAATCACTGATAGTTTATTGGGTTCACTATCTTCAAAAAGTGATTTTCAGGCCTATGGTAGAAACAGAAATGCTAATCGGTTATCAGAGGCAGTATATGCGGCAAAACCAACCAACAGGTCATCCCATGATTTGGTCAGAAAGGTTAAGTATCCTGAAGTTGGCGATCAGATGAAGTCCCTGAAAGGCCGAGCTATGCCCCTGCCATTAAAAGGAAGTCGAGTTGACTTGTTAGATTCTGATGAACCATTTTGGCATAACAGGACCCCAGGAGAGATGTTTTCTATGAACTCACCATTTAGGGCTGATGATTGGAATATTAAAGGCAAAAAAGGGAAGACAGGACGTGAGTCTCCTGACCTCAGTTTTAAATCTTATAAATCAGCACAGATGGATGATAGATTTTTTCATGCTGAATTAAGAATGAAGCCATCACAGGAGAAGATTAGAGGAGGAAACTATCCTCCAAATGGAGGACCAATTATGGCAGCATCGAAGAGTCGTAGAATGTTCATGAAAAATGAAGAAACAGAATCAGACTCATCTGATCAATTTGATGATGATGAGGGTAGCAATTCTTTACCGAGGAGCAAGTTGGCATACCCCAGCATTGTCATGGAAAGCTCTAGGCCATCATTATTGAAGTCTGGATCAGACTGGAAGCTCAAGTCTGTTAGAAAAGATACATTGGATGATGTGCATGCTCTTGAAGTGCAAAACTCGAAAAAGGTGGGCAGTTTTGGTGTGCGTATGCCAGAAGTAGAAAGCCACCGTCCAAAAGCAAAACAGAAGGGTAAGAAGCAGAAAAGAAGTCCCTTGCACAACACCACTGCAATTTTGGAAGATGGCCCTCTCCTAGGGCTCTTGAAGTCTCAAGATGAGGATAACAGTAAGCCATATATGACGAGCAAGAATGGCCAAGTGCGTGGGGCCTACCCTGCTGATAAAAGGCATAAAGGTGAAGTTGCTCATGCTCTTTATTTGCCTCGAGCAAATTATGAGTCGAATTACCTTGTTGAGGAGGATGATTCACCAGAAAGACGAAACTTCGGGGATGATAACAACCAGAATAGAACAGGGAAGAAGGGCCTGTACCTTGAAGCATATGATCATCATGATAAAGCTGAAGCTCCTGTGATAAAGAAGAAAAAGGGGAAGGAGTATGTGACCAACATGGATGGAAGAGGTGAAGATGGTAACCTGCAGCTTCAGCAGCAAAAAGATGAGCCCACTTTCTTGAAGAAAAAGGGAAAGCGGAAACTGGATGCTGATGCTCGTATTTCAGACATGGAAGCTGCAGAGCCACATGGGAAAGAGATGGGAACAGCAGATGTTGAGATGGAAACTAAACCAAAGAAAAAGCCATTTACTTTAATCACTCCTACAGTTCATACTGGCTTCTCATTCTCAATTATACATCTTCTCTCAGCTGTTCGCATGGCAATGATTAGTCCACTTCCAGATGATTCCATAGAGGCTAGCAAGCCTAAAGAGGAGCAGAGTAGGAAGCAAGAATGTAATCTGAATGGGGTTCTTTCTCAAGAGAACATGACTTCCAGTAATTTAGACGTCTCTGCACAGATGCCCACACTTACTGTTCAGGAGATTGTCGACCGTGTCAGATCAAATCCTCGAGATCCTTGCATCCTTGAGACACAAGAGCCTCTTCAAGATTTGGTTAGAGGAGTTCTGAAAATTTTTTCATCGAAGACAGCACCTTTGGGTGCTAAGGGTTGGAAGGCACTTGTTGTCTATGAAAAACCTACTAAAAGTTGGTCTTGGATTGGTCCAGTCTCTCATTGTTCAGATGATCATGAGACTTTTGAGGAGGTGACATCCCCAGAAGCCTGGGGTATTCCACACAAAATGCTTGTCAAGCTGGTTGATTCATTTGCAAATTGGCTGAAAAATGGTCAAGAGACTCTTCAACAGATAGGAAGTTTGCCAGAACCACCAGTTGAGTTGATGCATATCAATTTGGATGAGAAGGAAAGATTCAGAGACCTAAGAGCTCAGAAGAGCCTTAACACCATTAGCCCAAGTTCTGAAGAAGTGAGAGCTTATTTCCGCAAGGAGGAGATTCTTAGGTATTCTATTCCTGACAGGGCCTTTTCTTACACTGCTGCTGATGGTAAGAAATCTATAGTTGCTCCCTTAAGAAGGTGCGGTGGTAAGCCAACTTCAAAAGCTCGAGATCATTTTATGCTGAAACGTGATAGACCACCACATGTGACAATTCTTTGTCTTGTGAGAGATGCAGCTGCCAGGTTGCCAGGAAGTATTGGCACCCGAGCAGATGTTTGCACTTTGATAAGAGACTCTCAATATATTGTTGAAGATGTCTCTGATGCACAAGTAAATCAGGTTGTCAGTGGAGCCTTGGACCGTTTGCACTATGAACGAGATCCTTGTGTACAATTTGATGGCGACAGAAAATTGTGGGTTTATCTACATAGAGAAAGAGAAGAAGAAGATTTTGAGGATGATGGTACTTCATCTACAAAGAAATGGAAGAGACCAAGAAAAGACACCACGGAGCAATCTGAGCAAGGAGTTGTAACTGTGGCTTTTCATGGGACTGGAGATCAGTCTGGAATTGACTTGGGCACTGATGTTAATGCCAACTTGGGCACTGATGTTAATGCCAACCCATCATGTATTGATGATGATAAAAAGATGGAGATGGATGATAAAAAGATGGAGATGGATTATAATTTGAGGCAAAATGAGGAGGACAATGTTGACACCAGCCATGGGTCTCAGCAAGGTAACAGGCAGCAGGGTAATCTAATGGACTGGGAGCCTCCTGAATTACATCCGGTTCAGGGGAACAAATTGCTTTGTCAAGAAAATTCAAATAATGAAGATTTTGAAGATGAAACATTTGGGAGAGATAGACCGGTTGGACTCCTGAGTGCAAACTCATAGTGCTCAAATCAGGTAGTTTTCAGAAATCATGATTCATGTAAATAGGATAAGATATGTATTTGTTATTGGGGAACATAAATTCTCTTAATTTAAAGTACCCATAGATGATAATATTTCTTCTTTCTTTTATTACAATGTCAAGGTACAGTTATTCTGCTATTGCCATGCTGCCCTCATTAAGATATATTGGCATGCTAATGCCATTCTGACTTCGGAGAGATTAGGAACTATGTTTTACATTTGGAACTTGTCAAATTGGAAGATCGGTACATTTCCTAAACATTGGCTACTCATCCAGCTGGTGTTTATGGCCGAAAAAATCTAGCTTGTGTTTAACATGTAATTCTTTTTATTTGTTTTGTACTATTTTTTGTAGCCTTGTACTTTCATCAATCCGAGGGCTTGACATAAACTACTGATGTATCTTGCAGGTCAAAGTCCACCAATGATAGAAGGTCTAGTTGTCATTCCCATTGGAGGCATGTGTTATACATTTCATTGGAGGGTTAAAATGTATAGTGATTCTGGTCCAACATGTAGATTAGCAAGTGATCTTCTAGAGGCTCAAGAGTATGTTTTTGGTACAGGTGATTACCAATTTGATAGATTATATATTTTTATAATTTCAAATTTTCACCATTTTAAATGTAGCTCATTACATTTGTTTAGCTGGCAAATCTGGAGAATTTGGCTTTTGTTCTGTATTATTGCATGTAGTTAAGTTTAGAGGAGATTATCATGTGCTTATTATGTTGATCAAATGAGTAGTTCATATTCTGTTGGTCTATGCGCTTATGCTAGATCTTTAAACCATGGTGGAGTTTAGTTCTCTACACCAGAAGCAAGCAGGGAGCTATGATGCTTATGTCTACATTCTAGAATCATAGGCGTATCCCAGTTGATTTCGTTGATTAATGTTTATCTAGCCTTCTGCCTGTACATGGATGATGTTCAACTTCATCATGCTGGATTAAAACTGATTCTGGGCATGAATGTGATGGCCTCAATCTCTTATCATGATGAGTACATCATGTCGAACAAAGTTTGTTCGCGTTGATACAACGCTCTGTGCCTTTCCCGCTGAGAAATTTGTTGGTTGGACAGATAACTGCCACACTATTTTTTTTCCTTGCCCCTAGAGGTAAGATCATATTCTCCTCTACTTGAAAGGAAATGGTGGTCTTCACGTTCATATTTGCTCAATTGCTCTTCCTCCTTTGACATGGTCCTGTACTGCCATTTGTTAAACACAAAAGAGTTGCATCCTTTAACCCGTAACCCAGAGAAATGAAATGCTGTCTTTCATCAGTCTTTTATGTTACATGCAAGTATGCTATGAAAATGAAGATTAAGAAGGCTCAAGTCTCATGTAGAGAAATATCGACAAAAGTTTATGGCCCACTAAATTAATATTTAAGAGGAAATTTTTAGTCAGACAATGAGTACCATATGGCCACTGCCCCATAAAAAAATCTATGGCCTTACATTTATAGGTAGAAAATCAGAATTAACTCTGGCATTTCTAGTTACAAAGCATTTAAAAGCCTCCCAATAAATCTCAACAGATAGATTTAACCCCCAAAGGAAAAACAACTCTAATAAACAATGCTATATATATTTCCTGGAAACAGTTAATGAATATGATAGGGGAAGAGAGCCAATATGAATTCTGTACATACTTTTTCTTACCACTGTACTCATTTTATCTCCTGTCATTCATTTATTTTAGTTAATAGCAGTGAGAGGAACTCTGGAGTCTCTCACGGACTGGGCAGCTTCGTATGCTGCCATAATATGTTTTACATCTCCATTTGCATGTTTCCCAGATTTGGATTCCCAAAATGACTTCACAAGTTCCTCAAATGGAGGAGTTTTCAGTTCCTCGATGGAGGAGACACTAGGAAGATTGAATGACCTCTTTCTCGGTGTTGAACAAGATGGTTCGTCGACCTGCAAAATCATAAAGGTTTATTATTTTGTTAAAAGGCTTTGGAAGAGTAGTATTTAAGTATTGTACTTTGGGAGATACATATACTTCACATGCAGTGTGTCACAACCTAGGTCTAACGACTCTTTGAACAAAGTCCACTGTTCCCACACTCAAATGATGATGTCACACTGTTGACAGGATTTATTTGCTAACAGAGGTGTCAACATCACCATACTGCATACAAGATGCCTAACACTTCAGGATCCCACTGGACCAGGTATAACATCTGGGTAAGGGACCCAGGGGCAAAATTTGTATGGCAACTTTACTAATCTAGGTCCATATAGCCCTCCAATACCTCTCACACTATCCCCTAGATGTATATGTGGGATCCACACGCAGATTTGATAAACCAGAAGAAATTGATGAACTCTCTCATGCATACTTGCTAATCATTTGAAGAAAGGCACCAAAGTTTTCTTACCGTGTAGTCATCAAGCAGACATTTCCCTGCATTCTCTGTAATTTCTACAATCTTGTGGTAGTGACCACCCTTCAATTCCCTTAAATCCCCATAACAGGGAAGAATAATGGAATTTAGATTTCTACATGCATCACGGTCAAGTTGTAATGAATCTGCATCATTTGATTTGATCAGTTAATTGAAATTTTGCAATCAACTTAGAAATTAATATGACTATTATCTTGTGAATCTAGATACTAACGATCAATGGATGTAAGAAAATTGTTGTTCACAATGTCAACATCTTCAAGAACAGTGGACACAGCTGAAGAAAACCGAGTACGAAGGCTTTGATTCGCTTCCATTCCTCCCCTATTGAATAGAGGAAAAAGATTAGTGATCTAGACCTGAAAGACCTCTGAACGGTTTTAGGAGGCGGCATACCTAACAATGGATTCCACAGAAGCAACATTTCTCCCTTCTAGAGTGAGCAGGGATTCTTGAGCATGCCTCCACTGTTCTGCGCTCATTTTTGCCTTTTCCAAACTGCAGGGATTTTGGAGAAAGATTCAGTGAATAATGTTAATGAAAAATGAAGAACCTCATCTTCAGATCAGCCCATACCAGTTATGAAGAACCTCTTCCAACTCTTTCTTTCCACTTTCAACAGCAGAAGTATCCTCGAGATAGTGGGATTCAATTTTCTCCACATGGACTGTCCATTCAGCTTTAACAGTAGAAGTGGATTCTTGCATGGTTGACATTTCCTGCTGCAATTTGCTTGTTCTACTGCATGCACTCTCCCGGAGATCATGAACTGCCATTTGGACCTAAAGGACAAATATAGGAACTTATTCTTCATAACCTAATAAAGTGATCACTAACAGAAACACAATCTCAGAGATCAAGCACAGATCAATAAGAAAAAGAATTTCAAGCTCAGAAACAATAGATACCAGTTTTTTCTTCCTAGAATTTGAACTTGCAAGCAATTCTGCCACTTTTTCTAACAATTGCCTTTCTTCATCAGCTGCACATTCCTACAAATATAGAACAGAATGCATTATATAGTTAAGGCTTTTAAGGATGCATGATTATATCTAGATTGAGTTTTATAACTACCTTAAACTTCTTCTCTAATTCAGATAATTTCTGATCATTGACTTTTTGTGCTTCTCCCACAATTTGGGTGAACTTGGATGCATGCATATCTAAAGTCTCAAAGAAGTTCACTGCTATTTTAGAAACTGATCTTGCAGTTTCTACCGCTCTTGAATGTGCCTGTACTCAATGTGAAATAGAAAAGCATTTCTTTACATAAAAGTGATTCTTATTATGACATATATTAGAACTTAGGAAAAAAATAAAGGAAAAGAAAAAGAAAAAGGAGAAGAAGAAGAAGAAGAAATCACAAACCTGACGTTGTTGCTGTGCAAATGCAGTTAGCTTCTCTTCTTGCTTATAAAGACTACTTTGAAGATCATTAAGTACTGCATCAGCTTCAGAAGCAATTCCTTTGAAGAGCTGAATGATATAAACAATATCATAAGCAGCCGTAATAGGCAGGAGTTTTGCTTAAAAAGATAGCTATGAGGAAATACATACATCCTCAAGGGCATGTGAATGCTTAGAAACTTCAGAATTTAGATCACCAAAAGTTGACTTTGAGTTCCCATCAAGCTCCACAGCTATATTGTCCAAAGCTTTGATACCAGAACCATACATAGTCTTCAATTTCCCTAATCTTCCTTTAAGTTCTTCAGTAGCCTTCATGCATGTGAAATGGTTTAGTAACAAAGACAACTAATCAAGTCTCAGAATAAATTTGATTGTGCTCTTTAAAATTTAAATTTCACCTCTGCCTTCGTTGATACAAAAGACTGCATGTCTTCTTCCATCTCTTTCAGTTGCTGCTCCTGTTGAACCACAGAGGACGCTACAGTCCTATGCAAGATGTTGAGCTGTTGGGTTAATTGGGATTGGAACTTTTGGATTAGTGCTCTGTTTCCATCCTCAATTTTATCCTTCCGCTCTGAGAACAAAACATGATCAAGAAAAAGGAGTTACTACTATGGAATAAAATACTCTATGGAACAAAAGGTTTTTTTTTTTTTTTTTTTCTCATTTTTAAAAGTACTAACCAATTTTCTCAAACAAATTAGAGACATCTGATGCAGCATTTTCAAGCTCTGCTCGGAGTTCAAAAGCACGCTCAACAAGAGCTTTCTCTGATAAATAACAACAGATGTTAATGGTTTTTTAGGAACTGAATAGATGTTAATGTTATCATTATAAGAAAGTTAATATGGTTCATAGAGACAGAAAATGCAACTCAAACGAGCATGTCTTTGGAAAATGTGTCTACAAAAACACAGTGCTGTGCAGACTAGAAAATTGTGCAAAAGTAGTATCTCTTGGCTCACCAGATTTGAGGAGATTGGATATCAAAAATTCTTTCTCTTTAATTGCTGCATTTGCCTGCTTATGTTTCTCTTCAAGGTCAAACAACGAATGTTCAGTTTCCTCAAGCTTGTTCTGGAGTTTTTGAAAAGAAAGAGAGTTCACTTCTTGCCCAGCATAAGAGCAGAAAAAAGTACATAACAAAAAACATTAGATCAGAATCTATCAAAGTTAACATTGAAGATGACAGTACCTCTGTTTTTTCCAGTTTCTCACTTAATTCTGCAGTCAAAAGCTGCTGCGAATTGTACAGCTCCTGAAGCTCCATAAGTTGCTGTACATCAGTAATTAAAAATAATTAGACAAAATCCAACTCTCCCAAAGTTGGAAAGAGTCATGGGTGGGTTTTAATAAAACATGCCTTATCCTTAGATTCTGACTCGAGTTCCATCCGCTCTATTTTTTCAGCCATAGCCTGGCAAGGAAAGAAATAAAATAACATAGCATTTGAAGAATTTTCCAACCATGAAACACAGTATCAAAAAGCTCTATCAGCCAATTATAGCGTAAGAATTAAACCTTCTTCTCAGCTTCTTCATTGAGATAACGATCTCGTGGAATATAAATTCCATTCTTCTCTCTTGCAGCATATACCTCTAATAAAAATAAATAAATAAATAAAAGGTCAATAAGAAGTAATGTCAAGGGTAAATAAGTTGATTTCTAGGAAAAGAAGAACTGCAGTTGGATGCAATTCACTACCTTGCTTCAGCCGATCAATTTCAGAATATAGATCTTTGATCATAGCAGATTTCATCATCTTCTGATTAATCTGAAATTGTAACCACTTAAACCATTTCAACATGTTGCAAAGGGATAAAAAAAAAAAAAAAAAAAAAGGCTTCATAATATAAGAGATGGCAATATTGCAAAAAACCAATTGACAAAACATTATTGAATTACTAACCTCTGGTTTGTTCTTGATATTTTTGGCACGGTGTGCATAATCTAGAGTGCTGAGTGTTTCTTCCAGACAATGAATGGAGGGTGATATTGTGGCAATTATACATGTTTTTGTTTTCCCTCCCAAGGAATCCCTCAACAATCTTGTTAATTTGCTATCCCTGTAATCATCGTGATATATTTTGAAGTTTTAACTTTAGCAGAGGCCATTTAGACACCAGCAAGATGTTGAAGAAACAAAAAGATGTTTAGTACCTATATGGAACATGGCCAGAATGCTCAACGAGGGCATTAATGACACGACCAAGTGTAAGCAAGCTTTTATTAATCTCTCCTGCTTCCCTTGCTCTTCCCTGTAAGAGTCAGTTTGCTTGTGATCAAAAGTAAAGTAGTAGTACCTCCTTACATTCCTTTAACCTCATTATTGAGATCAGACAACAAAACCAAAGCACAGTTTCAAACATTACGAGGAAGATCCTTTGATGAATATGAATATGTTAATCTTCTGCTTGAATTACTGCACTGCAAGAGCAAATAAATGCCAGTCAATACCTCTCGTGCACCAGAACGTGAAATATTCTCAGAACCAGCAAGGTCAACAAGATTTAGCTTTCCACATTTGATCATTTCTTCCCCCTCTGGAGTACACTCCTTGATATGAATTGTGATGGAAAATATAGAATGAGAACGACTACTTTGTTTGTTAAGAAGAGTCTCAGCTGTTCGTCTTTTAGCAGAACCTTTTTCCAAGATTTTGTAGATTTCATTTGCAGTACAAACTATCTCTTCTTCTAAGCCTCTAACAAAAACACCCCCTTTTCCATCTTCCATAAGAGCAATGGGCTTCTTAGATTTGTCATCTATGAATTTCGATGTTTCCTCTGGTGCCAAAAGATCTGTTATCTCCTCATTGTAAAGCTCAAGAAATGTAACTTTCATGCTATATTCAGCATGCTGAGCTTCTAATATGTCGAAAATTTCTTTAACAGCTCTTGGTATAACACCTGCATCACTGGGAAATTCCCCATTCTGCCAAAAGGAAAACATTCATTCAGAACCATATGTGTATGCCTCCAAAAGTAGGGAATTGAACTAGAATCAAGAGTTTAATTTGTAGAACAGAACCCAACCTTTTTCCTAGCTCCTCCTTCCATTGTGTATGTCTTCCCCGTTCCCGTCTGACCATAAGCAAATATAGTGCAGTTGTACCCCTCAAGAACTTCATTCACAATTGGAGACACAGCAATATCATACAAGTGCTTTTGCTGGGAGGTTGGACCAAAGACCTAAACAAAAATCATAGAACATTATTATCAAAGTAGAATATAAAGCAACTACAACTCAACATTCTACAGGTTAACAGTTCTTTGCTTATTAGAACATAGTTCAAGAGAAATGTGTGAATGAAAAGGAAGGATTATAATTTCGTAAAGGAAAAGAGAATATCTAAATTTGGAACTAGGACAAGAAAACCCATTTCCTTGTACTATTAAAGTTGAATAAACCTTTCTTCTTCTTTTTTCTTATCCTACTTACCTACATTTCTTCCAGAACCAAGTAACGTATTAACAACACCAGATAAAAGGAAAATAAAAAAATGATAAAAAAAGAGAGGAAAATTATAAAACCTTGTCAAAAAGAAAGTTTCTATCAATTTGCTTGTTAGCAATGTTCTGTACAGCACAAACTTCCCTCCTATTCTCATTACAAGAAATCACCACCGGTGTATTAATTCTGGCCTCATCCTCACTCAGTGGCCTACAACGAATTGCCAAAAACATCAACCCGTCAATCACAAATGGAAAAACCAGCAAGATTGCACCTCAAGTTATCAAGAACTCAGGTCCTTGGCTCACCTGCAACGCAGAATAACCTGCACGTTTACACCTTTATCCTTATCATTCTTGCTACTTGAATTTGAATCCCCTGGTCTCAGATCTCGAGCTGATTTATCACTGGAACGTGGAGTCTGCGACGGAGATAGCGATACCAATCCTCCTCTCCTCTGCTGTGAAGAATCCATGGACTCTATTGTTCTGCAAAATCGCAGTCACAGTTTGCTACATCAGCGGAACTCACTGAGTCAACTATAAGGCAGTGAAAACTCCATAAACTCTTCATAAAGAAGCAAATCAATAATCACTAAGAAGAAGAGAGAATAAAATACTCGAAGTTGTTGAAATCTGAGGACTAGATTCTGATAAATCCGTAAAAGGAAAACAGTCATCACTCTTTCTTACCAACAGAAACAGATATGGAAACGGAGGTTGGAGAATGCAAATAGCTATAAAATCAAAGAAAAAATTGAATTAAAAAGAAAAACGCGACTGAATTTAACTAAAAAAATCCAGAGTAAAGAAAAACTTGCAATCAAAATCATGATTTCAAAAATGGAGATTGGATCCTTCTAGCTGTAAGATCAGAGAGTGAACAGGTAAAATGTGATTGAATTCAGCTAAAAAAAAAGAAGAAAAAAGATCACATTATCAGCTCATAACAGAAAAGAAGTTGTGAATGTAATAGTGAAAAGAAGAATCCAAGACAGGTAGTGTTTGGCGATGAAATGGTGAAAGTTACCTGAATTGGAATGCCGGCCGGCGAGAGAGATTTTCGTCTGAATCAATGGCGACAACTCTAGAAGAGAAAGTGAGAGAGTCTAAAGAGAGAAAGTAAGTAAAACGAGATCAAATGGCGATTTATAATTAAAGCAGAAAAAGAAAGCGGTGGAGATGTGTGAAGGAGAAGAAAATACTGAAGAAAGCGTGAGCTTTTTGAGCTTTCTGAATTTAAAATCTTTAAAAAATAATAAATTAATAAATAAATAAAGGGTAAACTTCTTTCAGTCCTCTCAATCTTTCTTGGGGTTGCCTGCAAATGCCCTCAAATTTTAAAATCCGGCAAGGGAGTCCTTAATTTATTAAAAAAGTTACCATGTCATTATATCCACCCATTTCTTAGTTGACTGAAAAAAATTAGGTTAAATTTTAAATTTGGTCCCTCAACTTTAGTAAGTTACACATTTTTGGTATTTTAACAATTTTTTACACTTTTTTATCCCTCAACTATACGAAATGCACTCCATTAGTCTTTCTGTTAATTTCGATTGTTAACTCGCTCATGTGGCATTTTCTATAATTTTTTTGATGACGTGGCAAAAACAAATTGAAAACGTGTTGATGTAGAATTTTTTTTCATGCCAACTCACATGATTATTTTTTATATTTTAAAAAAAATAATAAAAAAATTTCGTTCATCTTCTTCCTTTATCTTTATCTTTTTTTTTTCTTCCTCTTCTTTCTTCCTCTTCTTCCTCGGGTCATTGAACCCAATTTGCTGGGTTCGACGGAACCAAGAACCCAGCTCCGCTTTTTTTTTCTTTTTTTTTTTATATGATTGTTTGCCAAGAAATTATCCAAATTGCAGGTTGTTGTGAGGGTTTTTGGGCAACTGGTTTTTTTTTTTTTTTGTTATATGATTGTTGCCAAGAGATCATTCAAATTGCAGGTTGTTGTGAGGGATTTTTGGACAATTGATTTTTTTTTTGTTATATGATTGTTTATCAACAAATTATCCAAATTGCAGATTATTGTGAGGGATTTTTGGACAATTGAGTTCAGTGAATTGAGTTGGGTTCGATGGAACCTATTTGCTGGGTTACATCGAACCCAGATTTGTTGGGTTCTGTCAAACTTCAATCTTGAAAATGGAAAGAACACCGTTTATGAAAAGAATAGAAACAGTAACCGATGGGCAAAAAAGTAATTTTTAGTGGTGATGTGGGACCCATTGGATGGATTTTGTGTGTTTTCGTCAGGGTAGCATGTGATATAGCAAAAGTTTTATGTATATCATCATTTTTTAAAATTTTGCTCTCCACATCATCAAAGAAAATATAAAAAATGCCACCTAAGCAGGGTTAACGGCCCAAATTAACAGAAAGACTAACGGAGTGTATTTCATATAGTTGAGGGATCAAAAAAGTGTAAAAAATTGTTGAGGGACCAAAAATGTGCATTTCATAAAGTTGAGGGACCAAATTAAGCATTTAACCAAAAAATTATATTGAAATCATCATTCAAACCTAAAGAGTCTAGGATGTTATATGAACTCTTTGAGTTGAAATATAAAATAAAGTTTGAAAGAAATAATATTTTAATTTATAACATTCTTTTAAAATGTTAAAACATGTAATATGTCAATATTTACATGTTCAAGAGGGTTTATGTGACATTTAATGGATATGTTTTGGAGTTAAATTAAGAATGTTTATTTAACAGTCTAGTTCAAAGTTAGCTCAAACCTCACCACCTATTTGATTGGTTATATCTATTTGATTGGTTATTCCTAATTTCAAACTTAGTTAGCAAATTTAATTATTGCCAATAATGAGTCAATTTTCAATTTCAACATTCTTAGTCTTGTGTTTGACAATGCCAACCTGAAGTCAATTTTAGTTTAAAATTAATTCTCATTCAAATTGACTCAAAAGACATAATTAGTTTAGATGAGAAATATGAACGATTATAAAATATTTAAATTACCACTTATTAGAGTTACTAAAATCTTTTGATAATTGTGTTAATACTTGCACTTGAATAAGGAAAGGAGAGGGATGAGTTCTTTTTCTTAAAAAAAAAAAAAGTCTTAAAAGGCTAATAATCAAATTACTCCGTTCTAAAGGTTGAAGATTACATTGCATGTGATTCTAAATGTTGAGGACGAAAAGTAATATTTACCCTTAAGAAAAGTAAACGTTACCACCTGTAGATTCTTCTGTGACTGCTGAGATAACGGCGTTGCGGTGGCTCCGTTCGTCGCAACATCCGACCGTTACAAATGGATAAAAACTCGAAAAGCCTAGCGCATCATAAAGGCATTTTGAAAAAACTTTGCAACGGATTTTTGTGTCAGTTAGATCGCCCCTCACGACTCCCGGATATTACGGGATTAGCCCGTCTTAACCTCCCCGTAAATTAATCATCCCTGGTTAATTTATTTAATTTTTATGCAAGTAAGTTGCTTAATTTATCATAGGGTTTGTATAGTCCATGTCTTAAGGTATATATTAAATTTTATTAATTATAATAGTTATAATTAATGTTTTATAAATTTTCATATTATATATTTTTAATAAATTTTGAATATAAATATTTCATTTTATTTTTTTATTTTAATTAAATTCTATATAAAAATTTAAATAAAATTAATTAAAAATATTATATTTAATAAGACTTAATTTGTATTTTAAAGACACATATAATAAAATTTTACTATTATATTATGATTATAATTTGATAAAAGTTGGGACAAAATTCAATTCACTTTGGTATTCCCTTTAACAAGGAAACCTGAGAGTCTCAGAGTCTTAGGAAATTAATTAATGTTGTTAATCTAGAATTAGAAAATCTACTAAGTAAATTAATTGAATTTAAAAATTTTAGAAAAACAATTCTCAAATTCAAACTCTTTATATTCATTTTATGATTTTTTTTTTTATATTAGTTGCACAATAAAAAACAACATTTTCCAATCTTTTCTCCAACTCTACTCATATATCATGCGACTAAGTCACGTACGTAGTTGGTTACATTTTGTAACCTTAGTCCCTTAGTTGGCCTAACAAATCCAAATTGATGTTTCAACATAAATGATTTGTTTTCAATTGGATTAAAGAAGTTGGCACGAGATATAATAAAGAAATTTAAGTAGATGAATGGACACCCATAATTGTACGTATGAAGATGGTTTGGATAATTCAAAGAAAAAAGGAATGGTTTTGTCAAATTCATTTTAGGCAAACACAAGGATATACCTTCACCTACCAGAAGAAATTGACATCCCAAAGAAATGAGAAAGAAAAAATCTTCAAAAGGAAGAATCTGTGCACCAAACACTTACTTAAAAGAGGTTAATGGGTAGGATGCAAGCTAAGTCCATGCACTTAAATTGAAATTGCTTTGATTACTGGATAACAGTAGGAAAAACTTTTAAAATTAGTACCAAAAATGCAGCATTAAAAGGGGTATTTAAATTAGGTAAAATGTCAAGAGCTTTGGGACAGAAAGAGAAAGATGGAAGACAAGGTGGGGTTTGAATGTGGTGGGAAAAGTTGCCCCATGTGACAAAGTGTTGATGTGAGAAAGCACATGCCTTGGGTGCCTGCTTTCCTCTGCTTTTTTAAGCTCTAGAACTCATTATACTGTCTTCTTAGAGAAATTACAAAAAAAAAAAAGAAGAAAAAAACCTAAATGTAAGAGGATTTGTTTTTTGACCAAATGTCATTAATGTTACTATATAAAATTGAATTAAAACTTTCCTTGCTTAAATGCCAGCCAAGACTCCTATAATGCTAATTGACTTCTACTTTCTGGAACTGTTTTGAGAGGTCACATGACCTGATGCAGTGAAGAGGACTTATTTGCTTGGGACACATTCTACGTATAAGCTGTGTATGACTTACTTCACTCCTTTACACTTTGTTCACACAAGATGCCCTTTTCACTGAACTTTGCCTTTGAAGGTGTCTCTGTTTCTTTCCACTATGAAACTCTGCACTGTTACTCAAATTTCCAACATATTCTTTCTGCAAAAGTTTGTTTTGCTATGAGATATAAAACTGCTACCATAACATAATGTTTGATTGGGTGACAAACAAGATAAAAGGTGAACATTCCGAAGTAGTAAATATAGTTAATTTGCAATTTGCAAACCATGAGGAAAAACTTGAACGAATGATGTCACTTTAGCCAAGACATTATATGTATTAACATATGGTTTTCTTAATGCAAGGTTCATGTCCCACAATGGTGTAAATTATTCGCCTGCACATGTAAATGGTTTAGTTGGGTCCTTTAAGACTGGAATTCATGGATCACTTTGGCTTCACACATTGGCCATTTTTTTTGTTGGTGATATGTAGAGAAGAGGGGAGGAAAAAGAACTTTTTCACATGCAGTTGCAGATAAAGAAGTAAAAGTAAGTGAAGTAGGAAGTTGGAGTTTTTGCTTTAAGGGAAACTTACCTGTAAACAGCATATATTGTAATTGCTTTGAAGGAAAAAGGTTTAATGGCCCCATAATACATTAAAAAAATGGTCAAATTTCTTAGCTTTTTCTTGACAGCATAGCAGGTTCATCATGGCAGGCCATGTTAGCTGGTTAAAAGGTCTAACCATTAGGAATATCATCACTCATGTATTTCTTTGGTAAAGAAAGAAATAAATGACAGACAGGCATGAAATTGCTATTCATGTTCAATATACATAACAAATTTAGGAATGGTCTAATGGATTTGTTGAGAAACACAAAAAGAATTCTCGGAAGATGATTGGTATTTTTGTTGCATCTCTAGACCAAAAAGGGATTTGGATTCTTCTATTGATAGAAATGTTGTCGGTTGCATGCACTTTTTTGCGTTTGTCTTGATTTGGTATATCGTAAAGCTCCTTATTAACACCATTTGCATTCATGTTGACATTTTTTAGGCTTCTCTTTTTTCTTTTTTTTCTGTACCAAGATAACTTTGACATAATCAAGAATCATGTAAAAGTACAGAAACCAAGTCTTCCGTTGGAAGGATTTTCACTTCAGTAATTTAGAATATGGTTGGCTCTGTGGCTCAAGCAGCAAAAATTCTTAGCCAGGTTAAAGGCAGGGCAAATACTTTTAGAGATACTTTTTCAAGATATGTGGTCCAGCTGAATATGTTCTATTCACGGATTTCAACTCTCTCCAATGGACTCACCATTAAATGTTTGGTCACCGCACAACTGTTTCATCTGAAATTTCTAGTCTTTACTTT